CGAGTTTGCCGTATCTGCCGCCGGCTCCCCTCTGTATGGGGCACCTGGTTACCTCACCGATGCCCCCTCTCCCGATGCAGCTGGCCTCTCCGCCGCTCCTGCCGCTTACGCTGCAGCTTACTTCGCTACCAGCTCTGCAGTCTGGGATCCAGCTAACTCCTCCCCCGGCTCTATCGCCAGCGTTGCAGCTGATTCCTTCCCCAGCTAGGCTGCCTGGGGCCCTCTCTGCCCATCCTCCGGCTCTATCGCCAGCGATGCCGCTGGCTCCTTCCCCAGCTACACTGACCAAGCTCCTGCCACCCCCGGTCCCTGCTCCCCGCCCTGCCGCTGGTTCCCCCACCGGCTAAGCCGATAATCACAGTGCTGGCTTCTCCACCAGCACTGCTGCCAGCTGCTCCGCTCCGTCTTTCGGAACTGGGTCTGGCTCCGCCTCTTTCCTTCCCACACACTGCGGGTGGCGGCTGACTCCCCGCTTTCTGAGGCTTATCTCTCCAGCTTCCTCCGCTCAGCCGCCTCGTTGCCTCGGCGGGGCCGCCTTTTGTTCCTTCCGGAAGGCATCCCCCGCCCCCACTGCTTTGCTGCAGCTGGATAAATGCCCGGCTGACAAGCGCGCCAGCGTTCTCAGCACATGTGCCTCCCTCGGATCTTCCGGCCCTGCAGGAGGTAAGCGGGACCCTTTGCTGCCCCGGGGGCCTTCTGGCGTCCCAGCTCCCCTGGGACACACCTCTTTCACCATCTTTCTTTCCCCTCCGCCCCACAATGCACCCTGGTGATGAGGGATTGTCAATTGTCATATCTCACTGGCGATCTGAGCAGTATAAAGAGAACTCTGTTTATATAAAGGATTTTTTTTATCAAGATCTGTTTGTAGCAAAAAGGTGAATGGCTTATTGCTACTTTTTATAGATATGGCTTGTAACTGTTTCTACCTGTGTTTTGCTGAGCTAGCAAAATGTCACAGTCAAACTCCAGACTAGGTCTAGTGCACACAGCAAGTGCGACGTCTCTACGTTTTCAGGAGGACTTGTTTTCTGCTGCAGCTTCCCCTTTTTAGATCTATTTGTAAATTGCCGCCTCTGCTACACTAATGCTAGTTAAAACTATAACGAATTCAAACTAATTAACATCCTTTCCTTTGATTAACACAACCCTAACCTATCTTAAGCAATATCTTTGATTGTTTCAGCAAACTTCCCTCTGCACCCTTTTCCCATGCCCTTTTCTGTATCTGAGTGTTTGGTTTCATGACGATCATTAACTAGGTCCAATGGTGCATCTATTCTCTCTTAATTTGTATTGGCCAAGTTGTCAAGTATCTTGGACAGATGCTTGCAATTCCTTCTTAAAATCTGGCCTTTGTCTATGATCACAGAATGTAAGCAAAATGACTCTTTAAATAATCATCCAAATTGTTCAGTACCCCTTTTGATAAATTTCTACTGCTTTTTTTATTTTATTTTTTAAACTGTGCAGGCAGTCTTGCTTTTTTATTGTGACATTGCATCTGATAGTATTTTTGGTTTTTCCTGTACTACCTGAAGCTCCTTTCTCACCCTCTGTTTCTGTTCCCTCTGGTAATTTAAATGTCTCTACATTATTTTTGTAGAGGATCCCAGCAGGCCACATTCCACACCAAAGTAGGGTAGCGCTCTGCCCCCACGTAGGGAATTTCTCACCTCTCCAGTGCTTCTTGATTAGACTTCAGCACATACTCCACATTCCACTACCTCACTGGCTTGAGGGTATTTAAGATAGGTAGTTTACAAAGAAGTCACACATTTTAGCAAGGTCTAGAAATCCCCTATTCTTGAACTGTGGTCTGCTGTCAGTTATTACTGTTCTTGGAATTCCAAGACATGCAAATACAGAGTTAATGTGCCTGGTAGCTGCTGCTGCTGCTGTAGTATCTTCAAGCACCAGTACCTCTTAAAATAGTATAATAGTAAATAATAACCACATCTTGCCAAAATGAATGTGTCCTTTCTAGCTTGACCTACAGAATTGTGAACTGTTCATGCAATAGCCTTAGTTCTTTCTTACAGGCATTCTATGCCTGTTCACTATTTTTTCCATATTCCTATTTGTCTGTTGCTGGAGAACAATTTCTTTAGCTCTGCTATTTGATTTTGTTGTTCCCAGGTGCCCTGCATCGATTCATTCTGATATTTTTTTTCTCATCATTCCTGTGAGAACCACCAGCTGTGCCCTTCAAGAGAACCCTCCAAGATCACTGAAAGCTTATTTTTATAGCGGGGGTAACCAGGGGGAGGATGCTGGAGTTTGTTTTTTCTTTCTCTTTTGCTTATTGTTGGTATCACGGCTTGCAGCATTACATCTTTTAGTTCTTTCTATTCCCATTCATCCTATAAGCATGAAAACAAACCTTTATCATATTCAAATATTCCATGTTAATTGCTTGTTCCAGATGATCAGTTTATGGATTTTCTTACATATTTTGTCTGTCTTTGTTAGGTATCATCCCAGTCGGAACCCAAGGATCCTATTGTATTTCAGCTTCCAAATCAAAGCCAGAAGTACATCCTCTGTAGAGGAATATAAGGAGAGCCAGCAAGGCCAGTGATGCTGCAAATTTAATGAGGAGACATTTTCTTCCCAGGTTCATGACAATTCCAGAGTTGAACACCACCACGGGGGAGCAGGCAAACACCACAGAGTATTATTGTCCATATGGGAGGTACAGAGAGAGAGAAAGCTGCACAGGAAAGCATCTGGCAGAAGGAGGAACACTGAGGAGAAGAGACCAAAAGGAAAAGCCTAAAATCTCAATATTCTTCCCAGTTCATACTGAGAGATTCAGCTCTCCTCTGGTGACAGTCTTTGACACAATCTGAGTATCTGCCTAAGGGAATGGGTTACCAGAAAGTTTGCAAGTTCACAGCATGGGAAATGTAATTTTATCCCCTGCTCTCCCAAGATCTCCCTGGATGACCCTGAGCAAGTGTCCCATGGCCAGAGGCTAGGTATATAAGGGTGAGGAAAGGTGGCCAATGGAGTTTGCAAAACCCTCTCTGTTTCTAAGTGGGGTTGATTTTTTGAAGGGAATTTGGTGGTGCTTCATGAATTTAAAATGTACTGTGCACCTACCCATTTCTTTTGATGCCTGAAACCTTCACATTCTGACCTGCAATGAATCAAGAGTCTAAAACCTGATTTCTGGAAGACATTCAGTTAGATGCACTGTGTGCAAGATCTTTTCAACGGAATTTGCAATACATTAAACTGCTAAGTTGTCACTGAATGTGTATGTGGTATCACAGCAACAATGCTCAGACCACAACCAACAACTACAAGAAATAAACCTGCTGTGTGCACTGACCCCTCCTTGTACAGAATGTGGATTGTGTGTAAGGCTTCCCCTGGGAATGTGCTCGGCCTTAAGCTGCAGCCTTAGACCCGCTGCTGGACTAGTAGTGGATAGAGGTGGTTTGGAATGGTGAGCAATGTGCACCCTTAGGAAATCACTTTTCCAAGCACATCATCAGTAAACTGTCTAGCTTGTTGAGAGAGTTCGGCAGCAGTGACACCCATGATAGCTAATAAACAAAGGGCAGTAGAGCAGATAATGGAGAGGAGAGCATTAATGGTAGAACTGCTTCTTTTATTTTAATAAAGCAATAAGGCATTCCATCCCTATGTTTCAGTTCTCCATAGGAACTCTCTAAATTTGTAAGCAGTACATTTTTTTTTTACATATAAAAAAAAATGGTCAATCAACTCCTAGTTCTTAGTACCAGAAAAGAATAATTCTCCTCTGCTTAGACCTCCAACCCACCGAAAAACAGAAAAAGGCTGTTCAGCTACTACTGCAACAGCCCCATGTTTTAGTGTTGATGTGGAGTATCACAGGTATTCTTACATGCATATGCTGCTTTTTGACCTAAACTGCTTCTAAATGATGGATGTATTGATTTTTTCATCCTCCATTCTCTCTCCACAAGGTGGCACTCCTGTCCTACCTAATACAATATTATAGTCACTAAGAGCCTTAACATACCAAAGACTGGAACAACTTAGATCTGACAGAAAGGCCCCCTAGATATTAGTTTAATAAGATGAATTGGAAAGACAAGTGAGGATCCCAGAAGGGAAGGCATTTCACATTGATAAACTGAGCAAAATTTTAATAAAACAAAGATGAGGAAAAGTTGTTATAATTTACAGGTGAGCTCCTGGATGAACAGGGCTATATACTGAGGCAATAAGATCCTCTGCCACTGGGCAGAACTGCTCTGTGTTGTGGTTTTGCACTTGGGTGAGAAATGGGCTCACTTAGACTGAATTTGTGAACACGGTCATAAGAGCTCTGAAGTTGTTATGCTCAGGATGTGGGATGCTCAAAGAAGTGAGGAGACAGGGAAGGGGAGAGCAGCTGATTTCTGAATGGTCCCCTACAGCAAGGAATAAGAGAAGTCAAAGCTCTGAACCAGAAGCACGAACATCTCTCTACAATTCTGTACAGAACAGCATTTGTCCTATTGTCAGGCAATGCTTTTTCTAGAAAGAAAACCTGTCTCTAAAGTAATTGTTCTTAGA